ACTTCAGATCGTCGTCTGGCATTACTGTTTTAACCGTTGAGCAAAGCAGGCTAGAAATTGCTGTCACTTACCATTTTGTTCAGTATCGAATGCATTTTGAACGCCTGTCGATGAAAGCAGCAATGAAGAAGAAAAACGACCAGTTAATTTCTCATTGAACAGGCACAAACAAAATCGATGCGACGTAAATTTCGCCAGGAAATGAGATGTGCATTCATGTTTTTTCCACAAGCACCGATCACCGATTTGAAGCGTGTCAAAAACTGACCACAGTCCAGCAGGCGACACCGAGATACGGCCGCTACTCGACGTAGTGCGCTTTGTTCGACCAACTGCTGTTTTTCATGCGACTCTGACCGGCTGGGGCCGCCGAGCGTTTCACGGTCACTATGCACTGTCCATCGGTCATTGTTATCGATGAAATAGCTAAGAAATCGAGCAAATAATGCTTCTCGCCGAAAACAGCCATTGCCCATCGTGCGATCGACCGAAACAACGGATTGCACTAGGGCATTAGTGCCACTCGCCGAGCCGACAACGGCCGCTCTGCTCCTTTTCAACCCGACTCCAGATTTGCCGGTCATTTACTGTCCACAAGGGAGCGTAAGATATTCACAGCTGGACGCTTAATTTGCATTCAAACGAATAGTTGTAAAGCGGTTCATTTCTTGACTACTGAACCGATTGCTGTCCAGGAAGTGGCTTCAATTATCGATGAACTTAGGTTGTTCGACAGAGCTAAGAAATATATCGGTAGAGTTTATTCCTTTAGGCTAATATCCTGATATAACACGATGACTAGAACGTTTTAACTGCCATTAAGGTCTGATAAGCCTGCTAATTTCATCCAAAACGAATTGCATGAGCCCTAGGACACCAGCAGTTAGAGGGTAGGACCTGTTCAATAAGTAAGAACTAAAGTTCTCTTGTTTTAGTTTCACAACGAGACTCGTCAGCTGATGTCAGCTGGTCGAAAGGCCGATCGTCTTGCGGAAGACTGGTTGTAGTAAATTGCTTGATTTCGTTTGCAGTACGACCAGTGAAAAAGAAAGCTCGCTACTTAGTGCACCAGCACTTCGACAGAAATCCTTTGATAACATTTTCAACTGCGTTACCAGTTGTGAACTTTGTGCTTATCCAGCTTAAACGTTCCCACAGCGGATAGCAACCGACGACCAGAGAAAAAAACCAGAGGCAAGGGAAAAATAATGCGCAAGCATTTTTGTTTACTATTAAGTATTTGCCAATACGTAGAATGGGATTGCTCAGTCGGTATGGGGTCGAACTCAGAATTGAGTGATTCCGGGTCCAAACCCCGATCGGGTCACACTTTCCATCACTCTCTAAAACAAACTGTGCTTCTCATTATACATACTTGCGGTCGACTCCGGGCTTCAAATATGGCACTCCGGATTAAGGCCACCACTAACTTCATGAAAGGAAGGGCGCCAGAAACGCCCTATTCTGAAAGTGTAACGAAGTTTCAACGGTTTCAGACTTTCCTTCCTTCTATCTATCAATGCTACGCAGAAAGATATCACTTTCTGATTTCAGCACCTGCATGTATATGATACACAATAGCAAGGCGATTATTCATTCGCAATGACCGTGACTATAATTGTCTTTTCAGTCTGTTTCTTTGTGTACTGTTCTGATTGAATTCCTTTGAATGACGTAACTCTTCAGGATAACTCTGCTGTTTCCTGACACAGCAGAACCATTTCCGTTCTCTCTGCTGAGGCTCCCGCATCCCGTTTATAAAATTTCTTCCCGTTTCCAAATGTAGCTATATCGGAATGTGCCGTCTAGGCAATAGACAGTTCTTCTTCTTCCTGTTTTAATTAAATCCCTTTCTTCTGCATAAACCCTTATAGTTTGCATGACAGGCACGACTGTTTTTCCGCCGATTCATATATCGTTTCATCCTTTTCTTAAGTTCCTCAAATATAGAACTTTGTTCGCGAGATGGCGAAAAATAGGCTGTTTATGAACAATGCAAAACAGTGGTTTCTCGACGATACCACTTTCGCCCGCACTACACTTGCACTTTTAAGGTAAGTGAGGTGATGAAATTTGGTTGCTGTTTGAGGATGTCTGCAGCAGTGAGTTTGTTAGCAACGTTTCGACCTCCAGGCTATGGTCAATGCGTAGGTCTCGAACTACCACTCGATCGACTGCTGTATCGGTTGTTTATAAATAAACCATTTTGTGCTGATTTTCTTTCAGTAAGGAGTAACTAAAAGAAGACGCCTTATAAATTTCTGTTTGAAGCCTGATCCACGCTGACCATTGCGTGTGCACAGCCTCCGATCGTCCCTATTAAACTGTTCTTGAATGAAACCGTCCCACCAGTTATTTTACTTTGATTGATTGATCACAATCCTGTTTTACTTCTGAAGTGAAGTGTAATTGGCTCACTGTATAACGCTGAACTCATCCTCCTTTTCACGAATGACATGTTACGAGAATTGAAATTCAACTAGCTTATAGTATGGGTCTGCTGTTTTACAAGAAGTTGTTCTAAGTATTTCTTTTGCCTATAAACCGTGACCTCAAGGAAAAGGTGAGCTTACAGTATAGATGGTAAATATTTACAAATACTGCTCAGGTGACATTTGAACTAATTCAGACTGTTGCATTCATGCGTCACTATGATCTAGGTATCATCCACATACCTGTTAGGAACCTCAGGTCTTGTTGTTGCTGAGGAAGTGCTATAGTTTCACACTCCTCCATGTAGATTTCTGCAATAATGTGAGAAAGACAATGGAATTCAATAGGAACAATACGAGAAACACACTGGAATAAAAGCAATATTCTGACGATAATCAAAGTAGCACGAACATGTAGAAGGATAAATAGATAAGAAGAAATCTACACGATTAGCTTCCGTTCCTACGTCATAATTTAGTTTAATAACTTTTGCATCGTTATTTTTACGCATCATTCTTAGTTACACATTAAATATTTTTACTTCACTGCCTTTTAGTCTCCCATTTTTTCAATCTATGTCACGAACATCGTACTGTTTAGATTCTTTCTCCAAACAGGTGCAGTATATCATTTCCAGGAGAGGATTCGTGAAAGGAAGACCGTTGTGAATCTTGTCCTGATCCAGTACATGCTCCTACGATGTGCTTAATTATATAGTTAAAAATAATATAATGATTTAAACTATTCTAAATTTTAACTACTCCCTGAAACTCTGACTCGACATCAGATAAACACACATATGTTACGCTCACTACAATGCAAGATCAAGTTTGCTTTTAACGGACTAAATCTGTCAAATTGATGTAAATATACCACTGTTTTGAATGCGTGCAGCGTTTCTGTACTACTTTATAGAAAGTACTAGATGTAAATAATGGGACCATGCAGCATAGGTAACAGTATATACAGTGAAACACCGGTAAGTGAATTCTTCACATTCATCATCGTTGCATAATCTGGATAGCTGAAACACATGGCTGACATGGTATACGTGGCGGAGGAATAGACTCATCAAGGTTACGATCGAAACGGTATGACGATATTATCCTGCCATCATCAAACATATCTAAAAAATAGGATGTAATAAACGCTTGCATGAAAGTGCCTGCGACCGTCGTTCATATTAATTTTGGATGGCAGTGTAGTGAAATCATCTAATCAAATCCCTATAATCTGAACAAAGAGAGACAATCCAAAAACTAAATCATTCTACAGAACGGCAAAACATGCAAAAAATTAAATGCAAAATGAATTGAGAAAAAGGAATATCGTTTTTCTCACTCGAATTGCAGAAAACTTGGAAAAGTGATGGGAAGTCAACATTATGCATGTAGACCAATGAACCAAAGGTAGAACCTTCATCATCTTTCATTGCCGTTTCTCCTTTCGAGTAACGGAGGAAAACGTGTCAGACAGTGCTTCTAACGTTCTCGATCCTCTGTCAATCTCAGCTTCCGCAGAAGACAACTGGAGTGTAGAACAGACTTCTAACTTACCTTTGCAATCAGGTTATTCTTGGCCGTACTCTGGACCTTCCGCCGGTCGGTTGGGCGAGAAACAGTTGCTCAGCCTTCTTTTCGAAAGGATTCGCAACACGTGCCCAAATCATTGCAGCTGGAGAAGCAAAGGCTGCACACGAAGGATCTCCTGGATGTCAGTATTCCGGAGCTCGGCGAGGTGCGTAAGACCAACGACTCGTCTCATAAAGCCCATTTCAAACGCTTGTAGCCGGCTTCGAAGTTTCTCAGTGATGGTCCACGGTTCATGACCGTACGAAAGCACGGGGATGAAGATCGACATGAACACCGAGAGCTTAGTTTTCAGACTGAGCTCTGCTTTAGTCACAGTGGGTCGGGCTAGTTCACGCAGAAAGCCACTGGCTACACCAATTCGCCGGCGATCTCTTCCTCCAAGTTTCTATAACTTGTAAATACAGTTCCGATGTACTTGAACTTCTCCACCTGCTTCACTGCATCTCCGTTAATCTGAAGAGAGCAACGGGCAGGAGAACGAGAAAGCACTAGGCTTTTCGTTTTAGATGCGTTCATACGCATGCCGATCACGTCGCACTCAACTGCGAACCTTTCTAGGGAACACTGAAGATCAGTTACAGAAGATGCTAGTAAAACAAGGTCGTCTGCAAACAGCAATCTCGTCTCCCCTACAATGATACACTCATCGTCTTGGTTGCTCATTCTATCCATGTACAACGCAAACAGAAGAGGGGACAGGACGCAGCCTT